GTCCTGTTGGTTCACTGCATCATTTTATCTCTTATATTGACATTTTACCAACTATTAACAATATCACAGTCAGTGATCAGTGTAATCTGCTGCCTTTTACAATGGTGATGTCAATGTAAAAACATATGAGGTAATTGTGATTCCCCAGAAACGACTCACTATCACTCAAATCACTAGATTTGGTAGCATCTGTGTGGTCTTTGTCTCATCTCACTACACTGCTATACACACTGGAGCCCATTGTGCAGGAAGACTTCAGCTCTGTTAATGAATAAACAAGTTAAATTGATTTACTGGCTGAAGTCATACTACAAAGTTAATTTTTGAAATGCTCAAAAGAAACTGGTTTTGCATTTTAAGTCATACAAATTCTGATATCAAGAGAGAAGCCCAAAGCGACAATAACTAAGCTGTTAAAGATGAACAGCATGTCTTACCTGTTTGGATTGCCTGAGTTACGCCCCCCACCACACACCTGTGCATGCCCATGACAAACACAGCGTCCACCGATGCTGATGTCTTTGATACTATAGTAATACTGTAAACAAAAAAAAAGAAAACGTTATCATCACCACACCCTTTTAAAATAACAACAGTGTTATCAGCAGCTCAGCAACATCATCCACACCAGAACGAATGTCTGGCTTTTGCTTGGCAGCAGAAGTGAGTCATGCATGTTGACAAGTACAAACTTTCCTATGACCTATGAGCTGAGGTTAACTGCATGAGGTGAATCAGTGCATTATAAAAAAGGATAAGATAAGAATCAGTAGCTGAAATCACATCACTGATTTATTCTCAGCATTTTAAAAAAGGGCATTAAAGAGCTGCTTCTGACGTGAATCCTGAGGACACATTTCTGGAATTAAGTCTGCAAGAGAGAGCAGTTTCACTAAAGCTATGATACAGGATATCTTAAGCCACTACTCGAACATTAACATAGGCTTTAGCTTCATCACTCTGACACTGCTGGTTTTTATTAACATATTTTCCTGCTTTAAGGAGAGGTGCCATATTCTGCACCTGCATCCTATGGGAGCTGTCCAAACCAGTCTTGGCAATCTCTGTCAAAGGAATTACCATGATGACTGGACAGACAGATCTGGCACTAGGCCTCGACAAGGATGAATGTGTGAGCAAGAGAGTAGGCCAGTGTTTGTGTCAGCAAAAAGGAAGCTGGAAGGTAGATGGCAGAGAGCTGTAAATTTGGCTTGCCCAAATGGGAAATAAGAGTCTGCCGGCATGACACATTTTTGTGAGGTTGTATATTAATTGTCTTACCCTGCGTGTGACGGTGGGGTCTCTCTGGGCCTTGGAGATGAGGTGTCCCAGCAGGGTACTGGTGCGGAGGAAGTGTAGGCGGATGTTGGTGGCCTTTGTGAAATCTCGCAGCACTGGTGAGTAGGTGAAGTTTTTGGACCCCGGCCGACCGTTAACCAGAGACACCACAATCTGGATAAAATAGCATTCGTTTCATTTAAATGCTTTTTTTGTATCTATTAAAAAGGTACCAATTTTTGTTTAGTTTTTTAAATCATTTGATGTGATATTTTACTTCTCCATTCTCCAAAGGCACAATCCGTGAGTAATCTGTGGTGCAGAGCTGGTCATCATCGTTTAATATCCGAGCATTGGGCTGCTTTCCAAACCTTTCAATACACTCGTGCTTTGAATCTGCCAAAAAACAACAAAAAAAAAAATCTCTCACCCCAGCTCCATTCATTTTTAAGTAAAATGAATGACTTCTGTAAAAGTTACTTTCTGTCCCCAATTTATATTACATATACACCAATACCTAGTTGATTAAGCACTGACAACTGTTGTGTTCAAGTGTGTGTGTGGAGCTCTGGCATCTGATATTTAAGAGTAAGCTGCCAAAATGTCTTGTATTCATTAACCATAAATAAATAATATAAATAGATAAATGTGAATTTGAATGTGAGAATATATTATTTGCATTTAAGAAGGTTCTTATTGTGTTTCTATTTATTGGACCAGGGGTGATGTGAAAGTATTGGAACTCCATTATTAAGTTATTTGTTGATGAGGAAACAAACCCTTCAAAAAGGAAAACCTAGAACCTAGTGAATGAATCAAGAGAATTGTTTAAGAAGTTAAGTCTGTGCTGAAAAGGAGAAGCTCTGAGATTGTAAAACTGATTAGTCAGAGCTATTGGTCCCAACAAATTTGGTGTTTCTACCAGAAAAGGTCCCAAAAACACATATACACACACATACTTACTGTCTCAACTGTTTTAAGCAGGTTGATTAGTGTAGCAGATCTTCGCAATGGGCCTTTTTTCACAGCAGACATTTCGACTTGTCATAGCAGGAAAGGCACAGGTGTAATTAATAACAATAATAATGGCTGCATTCCATTTAGCTGTGCCAGTTCCAGGGCTCTGGTTCTGCACATTCTGAATTTCTGACACATAAAGGGATCTGAGCCATCGTTAACGTTATTAGTTACACCTGTGCAGGCAGTCAGACTGTCGGCCATGAAAAAGGCTTATTGTAAATGTCATGTGATGATTTCAACAAAAGCGTCTAATTATGAATTAAAAACTGCTCATCACTACATACGGGATTTTGGTAACGTGTAGTTGCTGCTGTTGTGTTTTTGAACTACATTTCGTAGAAATCTAAAACCAGTCTCTTTCTGTTTATTCCAAACATACCACTGTTGTATCTGAAGAGTAAGCTTCCATCAGCGGGGGGGGGGGGCTAAATCACTATTGTCTTTTACAGTTAACAAATGAGAATAGCAAACATTTATTTACAAGAAATTTTTACAGATTTGAATTTTGTACTAAAATACAAACATACATTCCTGATTTATCGGATTTGCTTTCAAATCCCTAACATCTGGAGGGCTGGCAGGTTATATGTGTAAGGCACTTGCCCATAATTTGACCAACAATTCCAGTGGGTTATTCAGTCATATAACATTTAAACATTTGATTCATAGCACAAGAAATAAAGAAGCTTTGTTTTTAGAATACAATAAAAACTAAAGCCTTGCTAAATAAAAAATACCACATGGGAACTTACGTGCAAAATACTGCCAGGGGGTGAAGGTTCTCCCGTTGTCCACAGAGCGCTCTAGCACCCACAGGTCAGGACGAGGTGAATTAGCAAACTTGATGAGGATGTATGCCACATGGAAGAGCTAAAAAGCAGAACACAAAGAGCAGGCTAAACAACAGGCAGTCACAGCTCTGAACGGATTTTGGCAAAATGTTTTGTAGTTTCCTGTGCTCTACTTGCTCTCTCAAGTAAGGCCCCAATCTTGGCCGGCAACTCAGACAATACTCTTATTTCCTTTCTTGTAAAAGCCCAGGCACAAAATCAGCATGGATGTATGACTGCAAATGATCATAACAGAACTAATGATTTAAATGGGGATTTAGTCATTGCACTAAATCAAGATCAAGGCTTCCTGTTTTGAGCTTTTCTATTATTGCAGCTTAACTTCAGCAGTATCTGTGTGGCCATACAGCAAAGTACAAACAATTCACCAACATTTGTCAGCAATAAAAGTGGTGCAGGTGCAGCCAGCTTAGTGAAAAGACATCAGCTAAGCCCACATGAGCCACATCTGTTCTCTGAACTCTCTATCTCCACCTTCCATCAGAATATAGAGGCCATACAAGGGCAGAAAATGATGCAATGATTGAACACTGATCTTTCTTTCAGACTCATGGCGCTCAGAGTAGCCCATTTTCTTTGCAGTTCATCAACATCTTCATCAAGCCATAAAAGCAGGTGACTTCAGCCTGATTGGAAGTTGAACAATAGAAAGGTAATTTGCGACAGTCAAAGATCTCTTTGTCATGGTCCGGCTTGGATTGGCGTGGCTTGGAATTTAAACCCTGAGATACCAACCTGCATGTGACACATACAGTGTCAACAAAATACCTCACCTACACCTGACCACCACACCCTGTCTTGTGTTTATGAGGCTGGAATATAGTTTATCTTTGTGCAATTTCAGTGCTGGCATGGATCCAAAAGCAACACTTAACATGTTTCAAAAACAGAGTACTGTGGGCATATTTGCTAAACTTGTGATACCTGCCCTCAGGATTGAACTGTTGAATGGAAACTGTACCTTAATTATTGTGTGCTATTTAAATAACATTTCTATAGTCTGTCTTCTCTTTCAGAAGGATGGGATGAAGGCAGGCCCACACTCGTCTAGCATCCCTCAGCAGCTTGATGAAAACCCCCACGGGCATTTGAAACATTCAGGTTTCTGTCTCTCTTTACATGAGGCAGGGAACTATGCTACCATATCAAAGCAAAGTAACAAACGGTAAAGGCTCTGCTGTGGAGTCATGGACTGTGTCAAGAAGGATCACAATTATCTTGATGGATTGCCCCCCCCATCACTGAGAAGAAATCGCCTCAAGTTCAAGTAGTTATTGGGTTGATGGATTGTGAGAGAGTTCAGAGGTCAGCTGGGGAACTGTCTGGCCTTGTTCTCTGAAAACTGTCAACAATCCCTTTTAACAAACAGAAAATCATTAGGTTGCAAATCAGGAATAGTCTGACTGTCTTTTAATCACTGTTGCCATTGAGAAAACAGTCAGTGTGTAAGTAAATAAAATAGCTTAGAACGCCTCCTCCTGACCTCAACTCTGAATGGGGTGTGTCTTGAAATTAATCAGAGAGCAAATCCACCCAAACGGAACAGGATGCTCAAAGAACAAAAAAAGATTAACGGCACACACAAACAAGACGTGGGATGTTGTCCTGCTAAAAACAGAAGCAAGGATTTTGCTGGGGAGCTGCTTACTATCAATATGCTGGCTCTGCTGAGGACCGGGGGGAAGTTTAGTTCACATGGGTTGTGATGACGTTAAGAGAGGGCCAGGGGAAGGGAAGCAGGCGCGGGGGGGGGGTAAAAAGGGTAGGGGTGGCTAGAGACGTGCTGGCTGGCATGCCAACCCATCTCAGATTCCAAACATAGCGCCACATTCCCCTTCCCTCCTAATGCCCTCAAAGCAGAGCATGCCACCACTTTCAAGAACCTGTCACTGACAGCAACACACAGCAGTGAAAATCTTCTCCGCCACTTGTCATGGATACGGATAAAGATGGTAACTACAAGACAGTTTCTCTGATCCTAGGTCAGTCCGACATAAAATTTGTGTTTGTGCGCTTCTTGTCAAATGTGAAAGATAATACTATTGCACTATTACCTGAGGAAGCTGCATGTTTTTGTATACAGTAAGTTGTATGTGAGCACCAAGTGAAAAGGTGACTAGTGCTGGTTATCAACATACTATAATAATGAGTATATTATTACTGGTGCTCATACAACTAAGAATCTGGCAAAAGTATCTGATGCTAACTTTAATGGACATCACCAATACAAATATACTGATGAAAAAATCATAATCATAAAACACTGAAATACACAATCACTTCTTATTTACTCTGACTCCCATGGAAAATGAGAAGTGCACACCTCGTCAGCACTGCTGCTGAAATTTCACATGGTTCATAATTATTCAAAACAAAATGTAACTACCACAACTTGCTTTTTCTACACTTTGTGCAACTGACTGGGGCTACAATACGTCCTTCAACTGTCAAAAGTTTCTGGAAAACTAACACATGACAAGGCGAAAATGAATAACACTTCCTATAATAATTGTAACGTAGTTTTGCGATATTGTTGCACCATCTGCATGTATCCATGACACATATATAAATATGGGTACCAAGCTCGCTTATGCACGCACAACAGCACCACTGCTGAAACAAAGGGGAAACACTGCTCTCCCAACTTTAGTCAAAAATTCTGATCTTGGCTGAATGTGGTGATGTCATTCACTGTGGTATCTAATACTGAGTTGATGCCAGTCACTGAGTGAATCCTCCGGAAACAAACCCAGTAAGAAACAGACAGCACGATCTTGGAAGAAAAGGCCTGTCCTGGCACGGCTTTGCTTAATTTCAGGCCTGCCAGTCTAAACACACACTCTTGAAATATGTCCAGCACCTACGTATTGTTTGGAAGGAGCATGAAATATCGTGATGGCATGCTAAGCACACCAGCAGAGGATTCCAGTGGCGTAGAAAGACATGAAACAGATTGACAAGCTTGTGGCAAAACATTTGCAATAACACCTGAGCGGAGCCATCTGCCCCTCCCTGCATCTGCAGCCTCAGGGTTTAGACAAGGGTGTCATGCCAGGAGGTTTAGTGTAGGAGACTGTGGGTGGGTGTCAAAAAGGTCAGGGGTTGAGCTGTGACAGGTATGGACTGTTTGACACATACCCTCTTTGCCTTCTACCCCCTTCGCAAATTCCTGACCTTGGTGCCCTACAATAGTGTCACATATACAAGGTATAAAGTATCAGATCTCCTCTAACCTTCTAATTAACACAACAAGGCAACAGAGCCAACGCTGTCCCTCATGACCAAACACCATTTTAACAGCAACATATTAACATTTTTACCTTTCTCAATACACTTGTAGCAACATGTAAATTTATTTTGACAAACACAGTCACATCATTCGTAAATCTGCTGACACTTCATGCCCAAAGTGTGTTCATGTGTATATTATCTAGTTTGGATTATTGACCCCTGACAGTTAATTCCCAGTTTGTGTGTGACAGCTCAACCATGATAAATATGCGCCCATAAGTGTGAACTGCAGCAGGAGCACTGCTGCCTCTACACACAGAAGTCCAACTCTCTAACTTCACACATGCCTGCACTTCAGGTAATGGAGCCATGGAGCAGTGTTTCACCCTCAGAGAAAAATCTAAGTTCTGGAAAAAAAAAAAGAGCTGATTGCGTGACCCTTTGCCAGTTACTCTCATTGCCGTGCCTGCCACGTGGATCTCTTCAATTATAATCTCTTTGTGTTGATTAAATGAAGTGTATTGTAAAGTGAACTGGTTAGGAATTTCTCACAGCCTTCTCAATCATAAATCATACTGTCTGCAACAATTTCCTTTATGGTCCTTTATTTCTTAATCTACACTTTTAATATTCTAATTTATTGTATTGCTCTAATAGCAGGTACTGTATGCTACCATGAGAGGTTGAGATGTGTGAGTACATAACTAATCGGATATCTAATCATATCATATCATATAATCATATCTCTTACATTTTCAGAAAAAAAGAAGTCAGCAAAGATCACAGAACATCCTTATCCCAAATTCTAACCAAAGAGCAATGCAGAACCAAGAGGACAACATCTACAGTGAGATCAGAGTCCTGACAGATAAAGGCCATCTGAGTGAGCTCCTGAGAGTCTGATGTGAGATCAGAAGAACGCAATTCAAAGGAGAGGAGGCATCACCTTCTGTTGGAGTGGATCAGCCCTGCCAGACAAGGCACGCTGCAGCTCAGTGGGGTGGAACAGTTGCCCTCCAGTTTGTAACAATGCAATGTACAACTGCTTGTCTGTGTGCAACAGGTGGGTGGTGGAAGGGGAGAGGGGCAGTCTGTTGTATTTTCCTCTGTCTCCATGACAGAATTAGTTATATGGTAACAAAGAACAGTTGGCTAAAAGTCACAAGAGAATTGTAGTTGTACCAGAAAACATAGAGTATATGCAAGTTACTACTTGTTAGCAATGTTCTCATTGTAAAAGCCTGAGGTGCAGCTGCTCGAGAATTTTCTGCATTGACTATATGTTTGCCTCTTTATGAAATGTCAATATTAAACCATTTCAAAGAAACTGAAAGTTCAAATTGGCAAATAAAATTTGAACATTTTTAAATGAGTACATTTGGGTTTATTATTACCTAAATGAAGCCTTGGAATTGATAACCAAGTGAGAATTATTGTATTTTACAATTGTTATTTTTTAGGGTTTGGGTGTAATACTGTCTCTCAATTAAATTATAAATCTTCATTAAAATTGACTGCAGGACAAAGATAACATTGAAATGTGAGTACAAAACAATGATGCAAGAACGGCAATAATCTATTACAATATAAATTATTGTAATATTGCAATATTGAACCGAGGCAGTGTTTGTTCCCATATTTACTAGACCTCAGATGAAAGTAGGCTGATTGATGTGCTACTATTCATGAAACAGCCCTACCAAATGGGTCAAGGAAAACTCCTGCTCTCTAACACATCCCATTGCATCAGTGCCTGCGTCAGTAAACCTGTGACCACTAATTAACATTTCCATGTATGAATTTATGACAATGGCCTTGAAAAGGTGAACAGATCCCACATTAACCCCCACAAGCTTTTCCACACTGGAGCTCCAGATTTAGGAGGACATGATGCACTCGCCAAGCCACAGAGCTACTGCTAACTAGCATGAGGTAGCTGTTAGTGGAGTAGTAAATATCTGCTGGGTTGGCCTGGCGCCTCAGGCAGCCCAGCTAAAGACAGCCACTTACATCACCTCCATCGTCACCACAGCAATAGGGACATGTCTAACAGCCAGTTTTGTCTCTAGGGTCAGACTGTGCCATCTGCACTGAATGAGCAAATCTTTATTACCAAGCATATGTTTTTTTTTTGCATTACATATTCAAATCACATCATACCTCAATTGGGATTATATGCTCTACATATTCATTAGCCACCTGCTGCATGATTTAGAAGGATAAAGTACCACCATGCACACTGAATCTGTACCCACAACATCATCCACGCATGCATGCAAACATCTCGTTTGGTTGTGTCTGAATGTCCATTCAGTGAGAGGGTTGATGTCAGGGGAAAGTTGAATATTTTCAGTCGAGACATGTGTGTTTGTGTGTGTGTGTTTTCTGTTTGAGTATTTTCTCACCACCAAATTACACTACCTCTCCACTTCCATCCATTTAACCAGTGAAAAGAGAGGACCAGGTCACTTTCAGCAAGGCTTAAAAAGAACTAAACCTTTGTGAGAGTGTGAGAGCACAGAAAGGATGTCACACAATGCCGCCTAGAAGGATTCTAACACAAAAGGGGCCAACGGCTGCAAATAAAACATTCAAACCAACTTCGGTGGGAGGTGGACCCCTGAGAGAGGGGATTAGGTTCCAGGGGAATGTCTCTAAAATTGAGTTCTTCGAAGCTTTGTCTGTCGACGATTGCAAAACTGTGAGCAGAGCCAAAGCCACCACGCTAACCTGAACCAGATCATTTCTGTCTTCCAACTTTAGAATTAAAAGTGCAGAATCACATTTTTCATGACGTTAGATATACGCAATAGACTGTTGTGCAAATAAGCCTATAAATCATAGATAAACAACAAGATGTTCTGCAGTCAGAGTCCATTTAAAGCCACAAAACCACCGCACAAAGCTCCATCATCAACACAACAAACACCTGTCACCCACAGAAATAATCCACAGCCTTAGCCTTCACAGAAAAAATGCCAGCTAAATCTACCAAACATCAGTCCAGCAGCTAATCAGAACTTCATTTAAACTTATAATGTCTTATGTTCATTCAGTGCCTGACACCCACCAATCAGTAGCAGCTCAGACTCATCAGATGGGAGACAGACATCAGTAAGCCCTGGCATGTTTGCCTCACATGCTCTACTCTGAGCTCACTCAGGCAGATAAGCACATGCGGTCAGGGCTCCTAAAATACATTCCCCAGAAAAAAGAAGTGACTGGCAGACGGATTCGTGGTGTAAATGTTTACCAGAACAATGGCTTGCCTACTGTGTCCTGTAAATAGTTTAACAAGGGCCAAAGTTCCTGGAAAAGGAGCCAGTATTTTGGTGGAGACATACAGTATGTGGCATGAATTTATACTGGCATGGACAAGTGTTTTACTGGTTCTATGACATTTGAATGCATTTGGCTTTAAATGACCTAGAGATAAACAGATACAGCACAATGCAAAAGCTGTATTAGTGAAAATCAAATGAGATATGATCTGGGCTCCCATAAATATCTACTTCAATCAAATTAATTTTGGGCCAATTACTCTAAAAGCAAACAAGCCTCATCTGTCATACAGGAGCCAACTGAAGATCACGTCATCATGGCTCACAGGTCAAAAGCCAAAAAGTCACAAAAACAGGGAGTAGCAGGCCTGCTCTCACTGGCCTGCCAGAGACAGAGGACTAATCCATAAGAGATTTTTGAGCTGGAAGCAAAATAGAAAGTAGTAATCATGTCACAAGGAGCACTCAGACTGGTTGATGAAAGTGGCACTAAGATTTGAAGATAGAGTGCTTGAATGAAAACAAGACCCAGAGTCTACAACCCTGCTAGGGGCTCGATGAGGCTGTGGCACTGCAGTGCTTTGAGGCAAATGCTATTATCAGCATGCTAGCACGCTCACAATGACAATGCAAACATGCTGATGTTTAGCAAGTATACTGTTACAATCTTAGGTTAGTGTGTTAGCATGCTAACATCTGCTCATTAGGACTACACACAAAACAGTGGCTAATGAGAATGTCATTACCTTTAAGTCGTAAACCAAAGTATTGGACAAACTAAACTTCTGACCTGATGGTGGTGATATGAAAAGTCAGGGGATGACCAAAGTCATTACAATAAATTCTGAGCGAGACATTTATGACAATCACTCCAATAACTGTCAAGACACTGATCTAAAACTAAAATGTCAACCTCATGGTAAACCTAAGGGCTGAACAAAGTCAGTATGATATATTGTCTAGGGATCATGGATGTCTGTACAAAATTTCATGGCAATCCACCAAGAGTTTTTGAAATGATTCAGTCTGGACCAAAGTGGTGGACCAACAGAGTTTTAGAGAATCAAAGTTGAGTTCACTTTCAGCCAGACTGGTCTAGCTTAAACTGAGGCAGACATTGCAATCAAACAATCCTCTTTACAGAAAAACCAGAACCAGCTCCGTCAATAAAGCCCCTTTTTCTTTGAACCTCATCATTTTAACATAAACATCAACTGTGCCATTATCTAATATATCTACTGAGAGCTATATAGACAACAGCAGAACAGCCACCTGCGTTGGTCTTGAAAGAAACCACAGAACCTATTCAGCTAAGTCTAACCCACATATTTCATTGAACACATCATTTATCCTCTAGATTTCAAAAAAAAAAAAAAAAGCTATCAAAGCTTCACATGGAACAGTCAAACAATCTGACAGCTCTAGCCCTGTCTTGGATAATGCATGAAGTTGCATTTATAGGGTGGAGGAGTACAATAAAGTCCTCTTGTAGGCAAATAAAGCACTTACTTCAACTCAGGAAACAGGAAAACCCTGTTTCAAACTCAATTTATAAATGATATTTCATTCATATTGTGTCAGCCATTTCTCTCCAGGAGTACTTGCAAAATCTATTGTCTTTTAGCAGTAACTCAGAATGCTGAGTGTGCTTGTTTGATACACCAGAGGTTCACAGAATAGGTTAATTTAAGTGCTAATACATCCGTATGGCTTAAAACGCCATGGTGGCAGGTGAGCATTGTTTACAGTCTTGGTGGTCGCATCAGATGCCATCAAAAGAAAAATGTGTGTGACAGGTGTGTGTGTGTGTAAGTGTTTGAGGGGGTTGGGGTTGTGTGGTAGGTGGTCACAGCCACAGATCAAGCCATGCTCTTTTTAGCACACCATAATACAATAATGCTGCTTTCCCTGCTCCCAAATAAACTGAGCATTACCACGTATTAAAGTCAGACATCCCTAAATGCCCTGCATGCGTCCATCCTCTTGTAAGCATGGACTATATTTAGCCATGTAGGATCTTTGCTCAGCTCAGTCTAAAAACAGAGATAGAAGAGCCAACACCCATTGTGTGACTTGGTGCCCACCAGGAACCAGAGATGCAACACGTGTGGAGTTGGGGGGGGGGCTCTTTTGTTGCTCTTGTTTTGAAGTCTAGTCCAAAACTATAAAACCCTCCTTACACAAGAGGTCCAGGCCTCCACCTGCACTCCTCGAATCTGATTTTACATCCTTCTGATCCCTAATCCTGAGACAGAATTCCTCTCTTTCCTCACAGTGGATAATTGAGCGTGAGGTACAGTTTTATGGGCCATGAGCCAAACTCCTGCCAGAGACACGGGTCATGATGGAAGCATATTCACCAGCCAAAGGGGCGTGAATCCGATTCCTGGCAAGCAACCAACTGCAGGACATTATTCACATGATCACTGCTGGCTGAGGTGATGAAGCTCAAAGTGAAAACATAATCATGTAACACCTTTGGGATATTTGTGAATGAAACACCATGAGTCAAACAATTTTTTTCCTAGCATGATCCAAAACAAATAAGCAGCAGCAAAACAAAGCACTGAAGAAGAATATAATGCAAAAAAAACACACAAATGACATAACTCATCTCACAGCAGCAGAGCAAGGGCCAAGGCAAAAAAAAAAAAAACTTTCCTTCTCTTGCCTCTGTAACATCCAGGTGCTATATTTTACTGTCACCACAGAGCAATCATTATACACACTGCAGGTAGCAGCAGGTAAACAGCTGTTCATAGCAGAGTAAGGTATGATAATCTCACCTGCCCAAGGTCCAGGGTGACATTCACCTCGTTGTACCCCAGCCCCCTGGAGAGAGGAGGGCTCTGCCACCATCGCTCGGTCCCATCAATGGCGTTGGTCACCGGGTGGGCTTTGTTTGGAACAATGGCGTTGCAGTTATCACAGAACTGACCCTAAATGGTGTCAAGTAATTGGTATTTAGAACCACACACATCCAAATAATTGCAGCAAACTAAATGCATGTTTTATTGTGGAGCAAGATGCTGGCAAATCAATAATCTACTGCAAAATATGAAAAAATATTGCAAAAAGTTTAGAAAAAAGCCTAGGTATGTCATTGCCACATTAAAGGAACTCCTGAGGGGACAAGACCAGTGTTGAAAGGGCATTTCCTTTAGAAAACTTGTGGGACTCAACTACAATGGTGTAAAACTATTTCTGGCAGTTGTACAACTTAGTCAGGGCGGGCAGAATTATCAGGTTTGCCCTGAAGCTCTAAAGACTCATTTGGTGTTTACAGAAAGGCACAACACATTTAGAGAGGGTTAGCTTAATAAAAATAAAAAAACATACAAAATAAATAAATCTCAGATAAAGTAAATTTCAGACTGTGGTTATAGGCTGTAGTGTATATAACTTCCTGTTGCCCATGTGTACCAGTTGCCCGTTGCAGCGCTTGTATACAGCTTCTATTTTACTTTTACGCAAGGACGAAAAGCTGTGCTGGGATCACATCAAGGTCCCTATTTTTATTCTTACCTGTATATTTTGAGTAGGAAGTGTGTTCGGTCCTCCGACAAGCTTACAGTATAAATCATATCTCGGTGTCCCAGCCTCATCCTGACCGCAGGTTGCTGTGGCAGAGATACTGGAGCCCTCGGCGAGGTTGAAGTACGGAGGACTCAAACTAAAACCTGTTATGTCATTAAAAGTCTCTTGTCCATTTGCGTCGCTGAAAAGTGTTATCAAAAAAGTAAAAAATACAGCGAGGAGATTAGCCACTCTCATCCCTCTCGCCATGTTCCGCATTAGAGATCCTTGTAGATGCTGAGAGCAACCCGCAGCGTGCAGGTCTTGTCATCTATAGATCTCCATGAAATGCGCCTAATGGGCTGCGCGAGTTAGGCGCGGGGCTCTCTCAGCAGGACTACACGTACAGCTTTAAGTTGGTCTGCTGCTGTTGAAGGTGTGCTCTCTTCCCGCTGCATGTTTCCACATTAACAACGCCAGCTTTCCGTCTTCCTCACCAAACTGTACGTCGCACTGGAGCTATCAGATGTCAGCCTGTGGATAGTCTGTGCTCGACTTTAATCCACTGAGTGGGGCCGAAGGTCTTCTATCACCGTTTACACTGCGTTTACCCGCAACACGTCCTCTTTCTTTTTCATTTTTACTTTAACGATAAAAAGATAGTTTTAACCCATTGGTTCAAAATATACATAAAGCGTCTTGTATTCGCATTTACTTATTATTTGCACATTTTGTTTTGTATCCCAATAGTTCCACTATCATCCAGCAAAGAACCACTTGGAATATGTGTCAGTCACAATGAGAAGTATTCTGCAATTTCTAAGCCAGTTTGAACTGTCTGCTAACCATGGGCTAAATGCAAAACAAAAACCAATACATGTGCAAACAGGTCACAAATGTTAGATTTTAATTATAGAATAACATTTATGGTAAATAAACTGGTTAAGAAAATGATAATGCTTTATATTTAAAAATCTTATTTTATATTTTTATAGTTCTGGTATTAAAGTATAATGTTAACTCTTAGAAGGATATGTGAAGTGCCCCACCAGTGAGTTTATAGTTTCTAAACAACTTTTGATCCTTTAAAAATGATCTTGTGGCGACCTCTAGTGGTACAGACAGTCATCACACCAGCCTTTGGAGAGGTGGGTTTTAGTTACGCAGTTGAAGTCCGGGGTTTCAAATATCACTTGGCTTCTTGTAACAAGAGTTTCCGTATACAGAGAAAAATAACACGACTCGCATTTACACGTCTTGTCTTTAGGCTACTGTCCCAAATGATTCTCAATAAAAAGTGAATCATTTTTGAAATTCTGAAATAGTTACTTTTATATGGGTCACTGAGAGAATGCCTCTGCAACTTGTGTCGTCTTTGAAACTTGCACAACAACAACTAGCCTAAGCATCATGACTCAGTGGCAGGAGGGTTTCCGCGTCCCAGCATCGCTGCCATTCCTGCGACTGGGCAGGCCACTTTCTTTAACGCATGTGTCAATGCTGAGGTAATGATAGGCAAACAGGAACTAGTTGTGCAGTGACTACAGGAGTGGATAAACGAAACAAGTGGCAGGGATCACAGGTCGAATCTGTTGTGTTTTTAATTCTCCCAGGACTCCTCATGGACCCAACCAATCTCCAGGTAGGGTGAATAACCTTCCGCAAAACTGGAAAGCTCTCCGTTTGTTTATGGAGTGGAGTGGAACAAGTGTTGTTACTTATAGGAACAAACCCACCGAGTGTATTTGTATGCAATCTGACCGGTTTCATTTTGGCAGATGCTTCATTATGATTCCGTCTAAGTGTCAGTCTAAGGTACTGTGCTCTGCATAACTCTTCCATTGTTTTATTAAAGTTTTTTTTAAATGCAGGGCGTTTTGTCTCAAATGTTTCTGTTCTGCGAGAGCTAACTGAAAATAGTGCTTCACATCAGGTGCACTGATTCTATGGTGGTCTGTGAAATGATTCATTTATCGTTTTAAACCGGGACTGTTACCAATTATAAGGTCCTATATGCAATCTGAGGTTATAATGTCTTTGTATCCTAGATGGAAAACCTCATATGCAGTGTAATTCTCTTTTAATGGTCAAAATAGCAGGTACCCACCTCTAATGCGTGAGTGTGTGATTGAGGTATAGAGGGTCCTAGATCAGGTAGACTGCACAATGAGCCTCTTCTAAAACGATAAGTACTTTCCTACTGAGTTATAAGGTTTTATCTGCAGATGCTAAGTTGACACTATAGACTCTTTTTGTTTTAATAACCAAAACCATTGTATAACTGAAGGAGGGTATAAGATCAGCAGCAATTTAGACATTAAAACCTTTGGTCACATCGAAGTTTTTCATTGACAAATCTGAACTGACAATACAATTAATCGCTTATTACTTAATGTATTCACCATTTACTCTATAAAAAGCCATTACTGGCAATGTTCATAAGAATATACCTTTATGTTGGCTGAAGTAGATTTATGCAGTTTATGATACACTGAGATGATTTGAACTCACTCAGTTTGAGGTTCATACACAGACTCTCATGTGGTGGTGTTACAGATACATAAGGTATGATTGTATCTGAAATATTAATTAATTTCCTGTTCTTTCAGAAAGCTATTGCCGTAGCACAGAAGGCCTCAGAGGAGGACCAATCTGGGAATTACGCAGAAGCCATCATCTCCTACCAACATGCTGTCAAGTACTTTCTGCACATTTTAAAACGTGCGTCACCATGGCTGGAAACAAAATGCATCTAATGTCATATTAACTGAGCCAGTCACCCTAACAGTCTGTACATGGATGTCCATCACTATCATTGCTTGATGGACCAATTAGCATCTACAAGTGAAGTTACTCAGCTACTGATATAAAATGTTAGTTACAAAAACCAGTAACAATATAGAATGGCATTAAATGAATGTTCTCCTTCCCATCAGGTGAACCCCAGGGTAAAGATGGCAACCAGAAGATCAGAGATAGATGTAAACAGTACCTGGACAGAGTGGAAGAACTGCAGGAGTACCTAGTCAATAAAGAGGTTCTTATAAAAATTTAATTTTTGTTTTAGAAATCTGGACATCCTAAAATGGGAAATGTGTCACAAAAGCATGGGTGTGTTGCAGCATAAGTAGACTTAATTCCTGCTACTTTTTTAAGTATAAAGTTTATTCAAGTGTCTGATAAAATTGTTTATGTAATAATGTCAGAGTTAATAGTTCATTCATAGTCTGGCAGTGTTTAATTTTGTTAAACTCACTGACTACATAAAGAGGTAATGTATGTGGGCTATGGGTGAACCACTAAGCAAAGACACCACATAACAAGCCACATAAACTGCAACTAAGAAAAAAAAATATATATCAAAATAAGACTAGGGTAACAAAAGTGGCACCGTCGTACTCAGTCTTACTTTTATATTCTTAAAATCCAAACAGTAATTGTATTGTAATGTATTGTAAATTGTATAAACGCAGTAACGCTAGTTACCCTGAAGCTACGTCTTGACGTCATCACATTCCGTGCACGCGAGTATCGACTTTGCAATACGGAAGTTTTCTCCTCGATCTTACTCAGGAGCGATCTAAGAAAGGAAAACAAACCTCATAAAAACCTCGATTATCGAGTTAACAGTCTACTTGCAAGGCTACATTTTAAAGAAGTCTGTTTAAAAGTTGTTTACTCACGGTGGTGTGACATCCGTTTCGATTATTGGACAAACTGATCGGCCCTTATGGCTACCAACAATAATTTACAGGTAAGTTGAAGACCAACCCCAGGGCTGGATAAAACGCGCATATAAGCTAACAAAGTTGTCCACATGTATGAGTGAATGAAAAAAGCATCGTAGCTGTTGTCAACCGAAGCGTGTGGCCTGGTTTTGTTGGGTGGTGTTCGGTATAAATGCCTCCGAGGGTGTAGAATAGCGTAACGTTTGTAACATTAGCTGCTAATTAGCATGGTTAGCTAACTTAGCTAACCTAGGCATGATTTCGGCATTTAACTTGTCAACAACAAAAAGATCACCAACAGCAGATACTGAGACCTGTATGTGACGTAAAGATTAGTGTTTTCCGTTATTAAAGTACATGCGGGTGTTGTATTTGCCGAACAATATTATCTTTAGCAGTTCTATTGACTAACATTAACACCGCTAATGAGATTAGCGATGCTAACTAACTGGTTTTATTTGGCCTATAAATGACACCGACTTCCAACAGAAAGTGAAATTGTTAACGTTATATTCTTATATGTGTTACAAACTGTGCTACAGTTTATAGTTAACAGCTACGGAAACCAAAAGGAAGTGAAACAAAGTGCTGTCAAAGTAAGGTTTAGGCACTCTTACCTCGCTGTGTGCGGTGACATCACGCAGGACAGGTGTAGCATTAAATTTGCTCATTATATAACAAATTACGGTAAACATACGGCTGACGGCTGACATTCATTTAAGTATTTTTTTTTAACTATTATTCAGTTAATTTCGTAACTTGGTGTCATTTTTGTTTTGATGTTTGATTGGCTGATTGTTTTTGACCTTCTCACATCTACTTTCTCTGTTAATGCCAGCACCTACAGGTGACAATGTAACTAACTTTGTTCTGTGTCTGTTTTATTTTAGAAAGCCATTGATCTTGCCAGCAAGGCAGCTCAGGAGGATAAAGCTCAGAACTATGATGAGGCTCTGCGTCTCTACCAGGCAGCTGTTCAGTACTTCCTACATGTTGTGAAATGTAAGGCATAAAACAGCACATTGGCATTGAGTATAACCTGTCCACAATCTGATAACTCGCATTGTAGCCTGTTGTGGACATGGTTAAAAAAGGCTTCACTTTCTTCTTGAACTAACCTGTAAGAATAATTAAAGAATTGCCTGAAAACCTGAAATATAATTTTATTTATTTATTTAATTATTTTAACTATTTTCTTTTTAAACCGTTGTTTTGTGAGTGTACCAACACTGCCAGAAAATTTAGGAGAGCAGTGTCTAATACAGCCTGAAATCATTTTTGTTTAACTTTTTTCTGCTTATTTCTGACAGATGAAGCCCAAGGTGAGAAAGCTAAACAGAGCATCCGGGCGAAATGTGCTGAATATTTGGACAGAGCAGAGAAGTTGAAGGAGTATCTAAAGAAGAAAGAGAAAGCTCCTCCTGCTAAGCCTGTCAAAGAATCACAGTCTGATGACAAAGGGTGTGTTTATGGGTGGGGCAGTGGGGTATGTCTGCTTATGTGATGCCATTCAGATCTGGATGAAGAATCAGTTTTCCCTTGATATATTGGAAATATAATGATATCATAATTTTTTACTTGAAATTTAGACAATATGATGTAAAAAAAAAAAAAAAAAAAATTATAATGCGATGTTTGTGTGTTCAGGAATGAAAGTGATGAAGGTGATGATCCAGAGAAAAAGAAGTTCCAAAATCAACTCTCAGGTTTGTAATATTGTTTTTAGGAATTATTAGGCCTCCTGAAGGCTTTGTATATTTGTTTACTGTTGGTTTTTTACATGCATTCATGTCATTATGTGGGCACCTCAGTAATGTATATTTTTTCCAGGCGCAATTGTTATGGAGAAACCAAATATCAAATGGAATGATGTTGCTGGTTTAGAAGGAGCCAAGGAGGCGCTGAAAGAAGCTGTTATTCTTCCAATCAAATTTCCCCATCTTTTCACAGGTATTAAAGCTTGTTTAATTAGAAGGCCACCTTTTTACTCTTAAATGATAGAAGCAAACATCTATGTTACATGGGATTGTTGTGTCACAGTGCAGGACTATAGATTAAATTACCTCTGTGCTCGAACAACAGGAAAGAGAACTCCATGGAGGGGGATCTTGCTCTTTGGACCTCCAGGTACAGGAAAGTCCTATCTGGCTAAAGCTGTTGCCACAGAGGCCAACAATTCCACATTCTTCTCCATCTCCTCGTCTGACCTCGTCTCCAAATGGCTGGGCGAGAGTGAAAAGTGAGTCATTTTACCAGCAATCCAAAGAGGCATGGGTTAAGCATATAAATATGCTACAGCATAGTATATCCAACAGCACTCACCTATTTCATTTCCTGAAAGCTTCCCTTCTGCTTCTCAGGTTGGTGAAGAATCTTTTCAGCCTCGCAAGGGAGCACAAGCCCTCGATCATCTTCATCGATGAGATCGACTCCCTGTGTGGCTCAAGAAGTGAGAACGAGAGTGAAGCTGCTCGTCGTATTAAGACAGAATTCCTGGTTCAGATGCAGGGTGAGTCTTATGAGCTTAAAAAAATATTTGTAGTTACTGAATTTTTTGATATTGTTTCAGATTCAGATGCTGAACAATCCCCACTTTTCATGTTAAATTGTTTAAAAATCTGAGATGTATAATTTTTCATGTCACTGAACATTTTTTCAGCAATATTCTGTGGAATCAGAAAACAACCTGTGGGATCTAAAATGGCAGTTCAAGTAAAAAAAATGAATGTTCAGGCACTGAAAGAAGCGACCCTTTCAGTTTCAGTCCCTGAATTTTCACTGGCAGCATTATAGTTACAAAGAATGGATTAGACTAAAGTGTAACCATAGAAACTAAAGGTGTGCACAGGGGAAAAGCTGCAATGGGTGGGTGATGAGAAGGTGCTTTTGAGCAAAGTTCAAATATTTGGGTTGTTGAGTCAATCAGTAGATTAAGTCGAAAGGCAGGCAAAACATTCAGATTAATGTCCTCTTGGCTGTATAGGACTTGTTTCAGAGTAGGGCCGGTGGTTGGACTCTCCCTCTCTCTGTCGCTTTCTGTACTTCTCTCTGTTCACTTCTTGTTAACTGAAGCATGAGCAGCTTAAATGAGCACTGAGTCACATGAGGCAGGAAAGTGCTACTGCACCACTCCAAATATAATCAGACTTTACAACATGCTGATTCTGGTCACTCCCCCAAACAGACGTCAGAACATAGGTGAGGGGAAAACACCTGCTATGACATCACTGATTAGGATGTTGTCAGAGGTGTAATGTGTTTTACAGCTATTAACAGCTGAACTATAATTAAACTAAATATCTTTTGAGGAGATAATGTTTATAATAGAGCAATAATTCACACTTAATCTTTAACATGATTTATAATTTGCAAATCCACAGAGTTAACACAAAAACATCTGTAAAATATAATGCAATCTAGTACAGTAGTCATGGAACAAACAACTACGTGGCTAAATGTGAATACCTGTTTATCTATATTCATCAATATTGTCAGTCGCTGTGTGTGTTGTATTCAGCAACTCTCCAAGATTTATTTCTTGCATGTGCACACTTTTTAATAAACATGCTTGCAAGAAATCTATTTAAGATACATCATTTTGTAACTTGAATACAGGCTGCTTTGATGCACCGAAATGGTTTTTGTATGTCTGGTGAGTAAACCTGTGAAATGTTATTTCTTTCTATAACCTTGTACCACAGATCGTTTGTGGTTGCAGATTTGTAGAAAGATGTAGATGTCAGTAAAGGCATCAAGATATAATCTTTGTGGTGGAAAAAAATTAAATTTCAAGTGCATCTTACCCTGGATGTGTTGTTACAGGTGTGGGGAATGACAATGAGGGAGTGCTGGTACTTGGAGCAACAAACATCCCATGGACACTAGACTCAGCTATCAGAAGAAGGTTATTGTTATTACTCAGTAAAAGTTGTTTGTAACCATGTTGTCATTCACTTGTGCTGACTGTTCATAAATAATACTCTCTCAGATTTGAGAAACGGATCTACATCCCGCTGCCTGAAGAGCACGCCCGTTCCTTCATGTTCAAACTCCATCTGGGATCAACCCCAAACAGTCTCACTGAATCTGACTTTGTCACTCTGGGCAAGAAGACAGATGGCTACTCTGGAGCAGATATAAGTATCATTGTCAGAGATGCTCTAATGCAGCCGGTTCGAAAGGTCCAGTCAGCAACCCACTTCAAACGGGTATGACTTGAATATGAATATCACATACTAATTTTATGCTTTAGTGTAATGTGTTAGAGCTAACTGTTACTTTTGTTTCCTTTCTTATGTTTTGATTTAAATAAGGTACGGGGTCCATCCAGAACTGACCCCAACGCTGTTGTAGATGACCTCTTGACTCCTTGCTCCCCTGGTGATCCCAACGCAGTTGAAATGACATGGATGGAGGTCCCTGGGGAGAAGCTATTGGAACCTGTAGTATGCATGGTAAGAATATAGAAATATTAGATGGTAATATAAATGTACATCAGAGCCCTCATTCTAATATGTTTTTTTCCCCCTTTTTTCAGTCTGATATGATGAGGTCTCAGTCCAACACAAAGCCAACAGTCAATGAACAAGATCTTGACAAACTGAAAAAATTCACAGAAGACTTTGGACAGGAAGGCTAGGCGGGATAAATGAGCCAAGTCAAACCAAAGCAAAGGAATTGATTGTGTCTCTTTACTGTCCTTGTCCCTTTTTCTTTATTTCTCTGTCTCATCCTAACCATTCACCAGACCTGGTGATTTATTATAAGTGGGTAAAATTACTGCTCTGTTCTGCCAATCTGATAACTACACAAAGGGTGGAAGACCTAGTTTTATTTGATATTCACTATTGTCCAAAGAAGATTAAAGACTTCCCATCTACAGCTGATAAAAGAATCAATGCCACATAGGGAATTTAGAGGGTTGTTTGATTTATGCACTAAAGACTAAAGGTATTGATGAGCAGAAAACCCAAGCATCTTAGGGAAACTAGCAGAGAACCTACACAACAGTTGGTGCAAATGAGGTCATTGGAATCAACATTATTTATTTTAAGTTCTAGTAAGTAAATCTCACTAGACTAATAAATACCCCTTGCATATTCTCTATTTTGTATTAAGAAAAAACAAGCATTTTATAGTGTATAGTGTACTTTGTGGAATATATAAATCTTGGGCTGGGAAGGTGAAGTGGAGGGCACGAGTTCACAGAATTTGTTTTGGTGAAATACATCATTCTCGTCTCAAGGTGGTGGACATTATAGAGTTTGAGACAGAGATACTCAGGATGAGAGCTGTATTAGGCCCTGTTGACATTTTGGGTTGTTTATCAAGTTTCCAAACAAATGACAGTTGTATTTATTAACTCAGTTGTCATTTGAATTCAACATGACTATTAGGGGGGCTCACCGTTGGTGCCGTACCAGCATTATTTTACCACTTTATTTTTCAAGGACTCAGTAGCTTTCAATTGCTTTGTCTCTCAGCTTATGGCTTTTTCACAACCTACTGTACATTTTTTCATCACTGTCCATCGGCTTTGCTAATTATCCTTAATGCAAACTGCAAAAAACTAAGCCTTATATTAAGATCAAGTCACATTGCAAATTAAGGCAGGTGTTGAAGTTGGACACTGGTGGCTCAAGTGGAGAGATCATCTCTTACACTTGACAACATAGGAATGCATCTCCAAGCATGGAGTTTATGTAGCCATAAGTGGCAGTGTGCACCATGTGCCTTCCAGAAAAGCCGCAAAATTCTTTTTTTTAATATGTTGGTCTGCTCATATATTGAGTGCGTTGTCACTACAACTAAGAAATGTATAATACTTGCACATTTCATGTATGCTCTTTTAGAGATTGTATACAGCTGTACTCTTTTGCTCCTAAGGTGTGCTGTCTCCTATGAGTCTTGATGGAAAACATATCTTATTTTACTGTAAATGTCTATACATATAGCCAACTCTTCAGCCTTTTCTTTGTGAAGAGGTCACCCATGCATAAGATCTCCTGTTTTTCGTTTCCATTATGTAAATAAAGGTTATAGCTTTGTCAAGAAATCAAGTTTTGTTATTGACAGGGATTTCTAACAGAGATGTAGATTTAAAAAGGGACTTTTTTACTGTCTTGCCAGTTGACATACCTGGCGGGTGGGCACATAGGTGTGTAGCTAGCTAAATGGAACGGATACGACGAATGAGGAAGCAGAACGTTGCATTGTGGGAGTTGTTGTCAATGCATACTCGAGCAGCGTTGTAATTCCAGAAAGCATTTCCGACTGAGAACTACAAGTACCAAGTGCGACCCTGGAGCGTCCGTTTACAGTGCACAGTTCGATTTGTTTTGGTTTATGCCGACTGCGTTTGGTCACGGGGAGCCAAGGTCCACCGTGGTACTCTAACCTGACCTTTACACATCTTTGACTCACCGCCAAACCCTCCAACAACTCCTCCTCTGAGGTCTGTGTTTCGCCACCCCCTTTTTCAGGGCCGCCGCCTGCCCCGTAGCTCCGTTATCGGACCCTAGAAGCTGGCCTGCTAGTTAGCAAACAAGCTAACGATTGCCAGATTTCACCCATGTCCTCTGAAGAAGGGTTGAGCTCAACGATCACGGATTGGATTTTCATCAATTCTTGGTGGCTCCTCCTGCCATTCATCATGCTTCTTGTCGTTGCTGCCTTCATTGTTGCCTTTGTGTTACTGTTATACATGATATCACCTCTTATTAGTCCCAAACCGTTGAAACTGAACGGGGCCCACGTCGTGGTAAGTGCACCGGAGAGCTAACGTTACGTCGCTAGTTAGGCTGGTAACGGTAGCTAACGTCCACTCATTACTGTAGCTAGCTTTAAGTTGTAAGCTACCCTAGTTTAAGCTATGTACGCCCGTAGCACTTACGACACAGTCAATAATTAATCACAACTATTTTGACAGAAAAATACATTTTTCAGAGTGCAGAATTTACCGCGATTGTTGCCTGTCAGTTATAAGGAGTGACACGCCCACATATGGGCTAAGCAACGTTACGTTTAACTTCAAAATTTATTTGGAGACCTGTTTATAAGGTGCACTTAGATAAAACAAAATTCACTTGACGCTAGTTAGATAAAACTTGTTAATGCATATCATACTCTGGTGACGCTTATATTATTCAGTTTTTTTGAAACAGCTATAGAGAGGTTCTAATTCATCTTAGTTAATGGTCAACTTAATGGTTATGTCAGTGAGGGTAGATTATATACTAGAAATGCCTCTCAAGGTAACACAATATAGTTGACTACAGCACCACAAACTGCAGCCATTGAAATAACAAAGATGTTGAACCACCACCTCTCTATAACAGTTTAAGCAAAAACTCAGAAGGCTTGTTTTATTAGAATGCATTCTATTTAGCTGGGTGTACCTACTGTCAACTGTGTGTAGTTGCTCATTTATTAATGCAAATCATGCAAACAGACCCTGCACCTTACTAATTTTTTTTAATATATATACGTAACATTTCAGACACAGAATTGTATTTCCAGTTTACCTGCCGCCCATGTGTTGCGGGTCAGCTGCCCTATATTTGACCTTTGATTAATGATCTTCTTACCCTTTCAATTTTCAGGTGACAGGAGGCTCAAGTGGGATTGGAAAATCCATTGCAATTGAGTGCTACAGGCAAGGCGCTTTCATCACCTTGGTGGCACGAGATGAGGTCAGTACAAACCACATTCAGCCAATCATTCCTTTAAGTCTAGCCTAGTCACAACCTGTTTGTTGTTATAGCCAACCAATTTGATGTCAACACAGAGTCACAAATTCTAAAGGTGAATTTGCTCTATGTCAGGTGAAGGATGTGCTCTACTCACATGCAAAATGCACTTTATTTTGTGTTAAACAGTTCACCTGTGTGTGAGCATTAATGTTCAGAAGATTTGATATGTTTTCATTTAGTTTTCAAAGGTGAAACTTGATGACATTCGTAAGAGTTTACACAAGTTTGAACAGATCAAACATGCATTTTTTTCCTTTAGGCTAAACTGCTTCAAGCTAAGAAAGAAGTGGAGAAATTTGCAATCAATGACAAGCAGGTATGGTTTTAGTAATTACTTCAATGAAAGATGTCATGACTGTATGTGTTCATATAAGGTATAACATGTGGTGACATTTTACATTAGATTATAAAAGATCATGTACTATATGTACTTTATTCAGGTGGTGCTCTGCATATCGGTGGATGTAGCTAGTGATTACAGTCAGGTGGAAAGTGTGATCAAACAGGTAATGTTACTCTCTCCATCACCATGAAACATTTCAGACTCCTTAAATAATTCAGTACTGAAGTGTTAAAGTGTTTTTTTCCTGTTGTGTAGGCTCAAGAGAAGCTGGGGCCTGTTGATATGCTTGTGAACTGTGCTGGAACATCCATTTCTGGAAAGTTTGAGGAAGTGGAGGTGGACCGCTTTAAAGTAAGCACCTTTGAGTGTAAGTTTCTTTATGTTCAGATGTTCATTAATCTACTCTGAACAGTACTAAAAACTGTATTTCCAACAGAAACTGATGGAAGTGAACTACCTTGGCAGCGTTTACCCAACACGGGCTGTCATAACCACCATGAAGGAGCGAAGAATGGGCCGCATCATGTTTGTGTCCTCCCAAGCGGGCCAGATTGGCCTGTTTGGATACACTGCTTACTCTCCATCCAAGTTTGCTCTGCGTGGCTTAGCAGAGTCACTGCAGATGGAGGTGAGTTTTACTTTCTCACAATTGAACATCCTTTTGCACAGATTTCAACTGCACACCGCACAAACACACCGCATCAAATTCACTCTGCATCTAGTTAAATATATTTAGCACGTATCTGTTATATTTTTCCACCACTTTGCTGCACAGATGTGTATGTTAGTGGTGTGAATATTATAACAAGGATTCCCAATATACCAATAGGTTGCACTCATACTTAATTTAATTGCCTTAAAGCCGTTTTGTATAAAATTCTTATTTGTTTAAGTTATCTTTAAGGTCAGTGACTGTTGCTGTTCTTATACTCCAGATAAAGCCGTACAATATCTATGTGACTGTGGCTTACCCCCCTGACACTGACACTCCAGGACTGGCTGAGGAAAACAAGACAAAGGTAAAGTCTTTAACACAATTAACAGTAACAGCCCCACCCCCACCCCCTCTATTTAAAGAATTTTCTTCCTTTATTATTTTCTCTCCTAGCCTCTAGAGACCAAATTAATCTCTGAAACGTCTGGAGTTTGTCAACCAGACCAAGTGGCCAAAATCATTGTGCGAGATGCAGTGGTAAGAAATTCAGTTCACACCCTACCATGTCTCTTGGCCAACTTTCAAACATTAAACAAATGATTGTGGAGAAAGATAGTATGTTTTAAATGTACCTGCCTGTTTTTCTTTGCTTTCACAGCAGGGGAACTTCAACAGCTCCGTGGGACCCGATGGTTACATGCTATCAGCCCTCACCTGTGGAATGTCACCTGTCACCTCTATCACAGAGGGTCTCCAGCAGGTACAGCCACGTGCACGATACTGTCACACTGGCCTAAGTAATGCTCACCTAATGCCTTGCTAATACAAATTCTAACCTGTGTTTATCTTCCATACAGATTGTTACCATGGGATTATTTCGGACCATCGCCCTCTTCTACCTGGGGAGTTTTGACAGCATTGTGCGCCGCTGCATGATTCAGAGGGAGCAGTTAAAAGCAGCTGACAAGAGAGAGTGACAGCAGCCTTACCTTCTTCATAGCCCAGTGCTCCTTCTCCTCCTCCTCTTCCACACCCCCCCACCCCCACCCCCCATCCCCCATCCCGTCCCCTCCCCTCCTTCAAGTGTACAAGTGCACAACCATAGGTGGGGGAAAAGGTCAAGCTTGGAGTGCATTTCTGATATCAATTTAACAGATGGGATGAAAGAAAATGGCAGATGTTTACTCTTTGCTTGTCCAGTGATGTAACTCCCCCATAAACTTCACAGCCATTTCTATCCTTTCAGAGCATTCCAGTGACTTTTCAGTTTCATTTTTCCACCTGCTTCTTTTTGTGGGAGCAGCCTTACTTTAGGGGAATGAGGGCAGACTAAACATCCCACAGCCTGGTTTTAAAGTAGGTAGGCTTTGTGAACCACTTACATTAGATATCAGGCTTCTACTCGCACAGTGTTGTTTTTTTTTCTCACAGAGAGAAAAAGCAACACATAGCCTGTCCGACCAGTTGTGCCAAATATGGCTTAAAATTCCTTCCCACCAGGGGCTATAGTGAAAACCAGAATGGTAACTTTCACCTTTTGCCATATTGTTGCATGTATCACAAAACTAGTTCCACCTTGTCAGAGTTTTACTGTTTTCACTAAACAAGTCCCTTCTTCTCTACCTTTTCGTACCACAAGTCTTTGCAGGCAAAGCACCTTCCTTTTTGATCGAATAACCTCTGTGTTTGAAACCAGTTGTGACCCTCAGCGTTTTGTTGTTGCTGTGGGATGTTTTGTTTTTGTGCTCTGTGTGTGAACCAAACCAGGATGTGATACAACAGCACTCTTCAGTGACATCAGAGAGAGAGAGAGAGAGCGCGTGTGATGTTTTTAATTGTTTTTTAAATTTTACTAATGCAAAAACATAATATCCAGAAAATAATATTCAAAATTTTTTGACGCAGTGCTGGGGCAAAGACTTTTGGGTGAATTGTTTGCATGACTGCGTGTGTGTGTTCGTGTTTGCTGTGACTGAGCCAACCCCCGGGGAGAGAAAAGCCATTCGATTTTTATGTCTCGGGAATAAAAAGACCAAATTATTTTCTCGTCATCCCAGCTTATTTTATTGAGAAAGGAAAGCAGGTGCTATGGGTTGAAGCCATGAAGTTAAAAGATGGAGAGAAAAAAACCACCAGCTCAGGTGATTTCCCTTTTCACCTGCGCATTTGATTTGAATTTCAATATACTTTTTTTTTCATAAATGTGTGAAAGGAAGCTTATCATTTTTACATGCAGTTTTGTGTGTCTGTGCACATATTCAGCCACCCCAGTCAAGATCCAAGTGGGATCCATAATCTGTCAGGGTGGTGTAAAAGTCAGGGCAGGGCAAGACTCGCTGGTCCGAGTCATGTCTCTGTAGGTCTAGTGAGGGCGCTGGAGATTTGTTTTACATAAAGGCCAAAATAGTAGAGGGACTAGGATGGAAGTGTGATCCGTTGTCCCTCTGATTTTGACCTGCTATGACTCTGTCATGCACAGTTGGGACTTTTAACTCCCTAAATAACACTCGATTCCCTCCTGATTTCTGTCAAGCCTTGCAAAGTCTTGTATTTACCATATGACCTTCTTATTGTTTTACATATTGAGGGAGAAAAAGTACAGTGTCGACTCTTGCAAGTCTTCCTTTGGTCCATCACAAACGGGGAGAATGTACTTTAATATAAAGCATACAAATCAGAACATAGGAATATTATTTTTAAATACACCAATATTTGAATGCCAAAATGTGTTAAGACCATTTCTGTAGATGCAATGCATTTATTTGAGATTTATTTCGATGTTGCTGCTCTGTTGATCTTAGAGTTAGTTTATAAAAGATGTGGAGCAGTGTGGGGACCCATTCTAAGCCTTAAGAAATGACTACTGATAAAGCTAATGCTACAAGAATGGACCTGTCCACAGAACAATGTGGCGTAACCCAAATGCGGTTTACCAGTTCATTTAATATGACTTTTCAGTGTAAAATGCCAACTGTTTTTTTTTTTGTGTGTGTGTGTATTTTGTCAGTTTCCAGTCTTTGTATGACAAAAAGAAGCCTTACTGAAATCCAAGATATGAAAGTGAGAATGGATGACTCATGTTTGATGATGTTCTCATTTGACATTGGTTAAAGGCACACTGTCCTGCACTCAAGAGCTTTTCATAATTGTACATTTATTGCTTTCAGAAGTTCTCTTTTACCTTGAGGTAGCAAGACATAGTTGATAGAACATGTAGCCCATATAAAAGCAGTTTTGTTTTAACACCTTTTAAGCTATGCAAATGAAGCCTGTGCTTACAATATGTTTAAAGATACAGTCAAGATTTAAGTTCTGTAAAACTCAAGTCACTCATTTCCCCTATTTAATGGTGTCGTCAGATATGTATTGAGTTTATAAGGCTTGAACATGAAAGTCAGAATGCACTCTCATTCTTCTTTCTTGCTTTTGACTTTGTTTTCTGCCAAAAAACTTAACACCTTCACCTTGTGTGCCATTGAAAGAAAATGTGAGAAGTGAACGTTTCTTTGTCTTATTTTCTTACATGATAAACTAAATAAATACCTGTGAGGAAAAACAAACTAACTCCTAGTCTTCATCCTTAGCTGTGATGTGTTAATAGATGTTTGGCCTAAGATATTCTCTGGTCTCTTCTTAAATGAGCAACTTTATACTGCTGCAGACCTGTTTGGCTGTAGACCCTTTGCTAAGAAGTCTAAGTTCAGTGTGAGTGAGTTGGATTTATGAGAAGTTTGATGTTGGAGGGGTTATGGGAATTTAAGTATTCTGTTTGATGAAATGAGATTTTAATCTTCCATGAGGGGACTTTCCAGAGCCGCAGCTCTCTCAGATTTGCAGAATACAGGATTTTAGAAGCTTTGTTTGTCCCATCTGAGAATAAGAAGAATTCATGTGGGATAAAAGATGCTAAAGGAGACTAGAGAGGGCATCAAAGAACTCAGGGAAATTGTATACAGGTACATCAATTTTGTACTGCAACATTGGATCTCCATCCACAAGGGGGTGGCTGGATCACATCAAAGCAGCTCTTCATCAGAATGGGATGGTCCTGTACTCCTCATGAATTAACCAAAACCTTCTAAGAGCTTTTCTTGCACATGTCTAGGTAAGAAGCTAAATGAGGGCCATGCCTGGTTCTGTTTTTTTGGGCGAAGTCTGGTTTTTCAGTCATAAAATTGGTGATATGAACATGCAATCATGAGAATGAGAGCCATTGGTGATTTTTAGTGCAGCTTCTCGTGCACTTGGAGTCTCCGAGCGCAGCCAAAGGAATTACTGGCTGACGTCAGGAATACCTCACCAGCAGAGCGCGGCCCACTGGCGGTGGGCAGGGTGCTGCCGAGGAGGATATGAGGAGCAATCGTGGAAGAGGACTCAGTCCGACCTTGTCTGGCTCACAGTCCTGCGCATGGTTGTGCGTAAACGCTGCTAAAATAGTTGGCGGCGTTTAAAGCCCCTTCAGGCGCGTACAACTCTGGCCTTCATTCATGTTTTTTTTTTTTTTATTTGCAACACATTCACGTCTGGGTAATGTGCACAGGAATAGATCAACACTACTCCAAACCTCTTCCGCATATTGGATTTCTATGCAAAGAGAAGGTCGCCTATGTCCCTCCAAGGATTCGGGAAATGAAGACTGCTGCTTACATGGACTCAGTATTTTTTGACTTTTGAAACGTTTTCTGTGCAGTTTTAATCGAGGGATTTCTTCAACTCTCGAAGCATTATCTGCTCTCTGACTGGGATTACTCGTTGCTTTGCTTAGGCTACATTTGATTAGAACCGAGTTTCGGACAAGCCTGTGCAGAGCAGTGTACAGTGCACGCTTTCGAGCATAATGCATTTTATTTAGGACACCCTCTGTCTGTACAAATTAAACCGGGATGGCGAGCGAGTATAATCGCAATATTGTGGAAAAGTATATCTGCCATAAACTCTCCAAACAAGGATACGTGTGGGGATTTGATGATGTCCGAGATGAAGATGCTGCTAATAATGGCTCAATAGTTGCCCCTCCACCGACTTTGGTCCGCCGGTGCCGTGAAGCCAACACCGGGCCTGACAACGACAGCTCACCTAACCTCTGCAGACGGCTCTCTCAGTCCGACCCGCACGCCGAGATCCACAGAGTCCTGCGCGAGGCTGGAGACGAACTTGAGAGATTATACCAGCCGGACTTCACGGAGATGTCGCGGCAGCTCTATCTCACCTCCACCACGGCGCAGAGAAGATTCGCCGAGGTGATAGACGAACTGTTCCGGGACGGGGTGAATTGGGGCCGGATTATCGCTTTCTTCGAGTTCGGGGGCACGGTGTGCGTTGAGTGCGCGGCCAAGGAGGAGATGACATCGCAGGTGGACAACATCGTGGAGTGGATGACGGAGTATTTAAATGGACCTCTTAACAGCTGGATAAAGGATAACGGGGGATGGGTAGGTCTGATTCCGTGTATCTGAGCGATTTGCAGTTCTGTGCCACGGTGGCGCAAAAGTCCTCTTTTGCTGAGGTTTGAAATCAGTGAATTAAGCTGCTTACAAGTGTTCAGTTGGGATTAAAACGTGCATTCTGATCCGACACACAATGTCGAAAGCACATCTGTAAGTGATCATTAATTTAAAAAAAAAAAATCCATCTCTAGATGTGGCACCACAGCGCGAACGTTCGAGACGGACGGCCTCACTTAAAGAGCTGCTTCGATTGGACGTTCACGGTGGCTGTTAAACTTATTAGACCAATCAGACTGCTAGCTCTGTCACACCTCCCGACGCTCCGACAGAAAGCCCGCCCTGTCAACTGGATAGCCAGTGGCAGCCACGCAGCTGTCAGGGAGCACACAGGGTAGTTCAGTGTCATCCAGGGGAAAATTAAACTCACAACCCAATATGACCAGAAATCAATGCATCACATTAGAAAGCACTGTATGGCTGTTTCAGCATTTACCTGTTTCTGAAGCTTTATGTACCAAAGTGCTCCAGAGCAGCTGTGATGTGATGCAGGTCATCTTTCCAGCAGAAGGGAGGAGGCCAGACACATGTCAGCAAACAGAAAACTATTGACTTAATGTGTTCAGGCCTCTGGGCATGGCTGGACAGGGTTCAGCTATCAGGTCTGTTTTCTGCACACAGAAATTACACGTAAGCTTCAGGTACTAATGAGGATAGGCATCTAAACTCTCCTCTCTCTTTTTTCTTTTTTCTTTTACAACAATTCTCCTGCAAACTCCAGCTCAGCTCCGTTTCCAGTGAGGAGCACAGCAGCCTCCTCGACAGCTATTAAACCAATCTGCCACGAATTAGCCTCTAATTAGCAGAGGTGCTCTTAATGAGAGCATAACATTTGTGCTGCTTGGTGATCTTAGCTGGAAGGTATCAGATTTGGAGAGGGGGGTCATCAATGATTCATATTGAACATTTCATCTCAAAGGGAAGGACCGTTTAACATTCCCCTTGAGTGTGTCTTGCCCCTGGAGGTGGCAGGTTGTGCCACATATCAAAGGCAGCGACAGAGGGAGGGCCCTCGAGGAACACAGAGTGCTAATCTGCAGCCGCTGTTTTTTAACATGCAGCCCTCTGTGCATCTAGGTTGGAACTCTTTTGTCTGCTTTTTTCTCAGACCTGTGCCTTGAAGCTGGCGCAGGCTGGCCTGTCGAGATGCCTGCTCGAGGTCTCTGGAGCCTGTGCCCACTGTATAATAATGTAGGTCATCATAGTCTATGTTTTCCAGCTGGGCGGAGATGACTGTATCTCTGCTGCTCTGCATCCGCTGGAGAGTAAAAACATAGTCTTTTAATCCAAAGGATTATTTAGGATTATTTGAAAGCGTATGTCTCCAGTTTGGGTCAGTTTGGTGGATTTCAGCTCTCAGCACCTCAAAAAACTGCATCCTAATGATTTTGGCTCTAATTAGGCTCTAAAACAATTTAAAACAGAATACTGTATTTATCTTGAACGCTTTTGGGCGTGTTGGATTTTAACAGACAATGATGTAGATTTATATATTCATTTGAATGTCTGTCAAGTGGGGAATTTCCTCAGGTGTTCTGTTTCAGTTATTACCTGACCTTATAATAACTGACACTGCAGGCACAAAGCGTGGTCTGTGCTCTAGACTGGGTTTGTGAAATTCAGCTTCTCCTTTTTTACTGACTTGTTGGCTAGATTTTGAAATATAATGAAAGTCATTCAGCTTGTGCCAAATAGGTTGTTTTCTCTTGTTATTCATAGCAGCTCTCGGACCTAAAGAGTCTGTTTTACACTGACGAGTTTGGGATGTGTTTGGGTTTAGATGGCAACTAAAAGTTGGTTAATTGTTTTCTGTAACTTCTTCCTGCTTTCTGAATCCACATAATGCACATGTTGCTGAGCTTGTTTATCAGATGTTTTGAGTGCTCTGGCCAGGGTTTTAGAGATACTAAGATCATCAGTCAATCCTTTTTTTATTCATCCATTTATTTATTTTGCTGGCTTCAGAATATTCAATACACTGAGTATAAAAATATTAGAATCAGCCCTTTAAATGTTCATCATGTCTTTTAATTGTAACATGCACATGAACACCCTCCAGTTTCCAAAAAAAGAAACTGAGGACAGGACCTCAGTGTCCTCTTTTTTAGCCCTTTACAGACTGGGTAATGGCTGTTTGGAAATAATGTGGCAACAGATGTGTTTCGTTGTGAAAGCTTTCAGTGCATTGCAATGAAGCAAATGTGTCACATTTCTATATCCAAGCCGCTCATTGTGGACTTTGCTGAGGGAGGTTCATGCATTTTTGGATCACACATTTTCAAAGTGCATATGGGTCACAATTATTTCCTTCGTTTCATCCACCACCTGCCAGGTGGCTGTAAGAATATGACTCAGAATAAAACAGTTTCAGTCACTGCACCTCTCTGATGAGCCTCTGGCTCTGTGAGGGTAGATTAAAGTGAGAGACATTATTTTTCTTGATGGAGTTTTCATGGCTTCCTAACAACGACAACACGAAACAAACATGGTTACATGTGCATTTAGACAGGCTGTGCTTATGGTCACTTACTCTGTCTATGGTGTTATTGTGTGCTTAGAGGTGACTCTTGTGTTTTTCACCACTCTTAAAACAAAGGTGGAGGCCTAATCAACCTATTACTGACATTTTGACATGTGTGAGTGGTGTGGAAACAGCTTTCTATCAGCCACCCTCTGTTTCCTGTTGTTTTTTAGGTAATTTGAGCCCAAAATAGGAGTGGCCACTAATCGTTGTTGAGTCTAGGCATCACCAGTGAGTCAAGTATAGTTTTACTTAAATGAAACTCTCTGCCAATTAGAAATAACAAAGCACTTACTGTATGTGCAAAACCCAGCTGAGGGTGAAATTGCTCCCATTCTGCACTGATTACTTCCCACACTCCAGGATGTGAAACACTGTCCCTTCATTGTCTCTAACACTCAGGTTTTCTCCACCTGTATAAATTTAACCTTTGCGGTGACAGAAATTGCTCTCATCAGGGGACAAGTTGCATTTAGGCTACAGCGTCACCCACACACAATGCACCTGTGTTTATTCACTGCTGCTCGCAGTAAATACCAAATGACTGAACAATGTGGCAGGCGGCGTCCGACTTTTGAAATTATATGCTTGACCTCAGACATTTGACTGACTACGGGGGCGTCAGGCAGCGAAATGCCAAAATGTGTTGCAGAGAAAAACAACAGTTTCACAACTTTGAAAGGTTAACCTAGCAGTCAGTCAGTTGGTCAGTTGGTCACCCACTTTGGTCTAGACTGAAATATCTCAACAACTACTGGATATGAAATTTTGTACAGACATCGATTGTCCCCAGAGGGTGAATCCTACTGACTCATGGTGATACAGTGACCTGTCTCTAGCATCACCATGAGGTTCACAACCATGGTTTTTAGTGAAGTGTCTCAACAACTATTGGATGAATTGCCATGAATTTCGGCACACACATTAACTTTCCCCTCAGGATGCCCTGTAATAACTTTGGTCAGCCCTGGCTTTTCATTTAGAGCCATCATCAGCATCAACTTCGGTTTACGGACAAATACGTACAAACCCAACAATGCTTCCATCTATCTTAGCTGCAAAACCAAGATGGTGAACATGGTAAACAGTGTACCTGCTAAACACCAGCATGTTAGCATTGTCATTCTGACCATGTAATCACGCTGTCATTAGCATTTGGCTCGGTAGACTTTTGTCTTGTTGTTGAGTCTCGTTTTCATGTAGTAGATAAGAGTAAGAAGTTAAATCACCTGTAAACAACATCGGGTGTCAGAGGAATGCTGCTAACCAAGCGGCCTATTTCTCTGTGTGTCACAGGTGTGTGTGTGTGTCTGTGTGTGTGTGTGTGTGTGAGGAGTGGACAGTGTAAATTGGCTTAGATTGGGTCCAACCTGTGGGGGATTCCCTGAGCACAATCTGCTTGGCGACGGGTGGGACCTGCATGTTGCTATGGTATTGCTTGCATCTGGCTGCACCCCACTACTCCCTTGTTGAGGCTGAGTGGATCTGGAAGAGCGAGGAAGTCATTAATCTCCATATAGGTGACATGTCTGCGGAGCAGAGGAGGGGGAAAAAAAAAAACACAAACAAACTGAATCACAAAGGAAGCACATGCAGCCACTCACAGGAGGGCAAAAAAAATATCTGGATGAGATCTCACTTATGTCCAATTTGTGTCTCCTTGATGTAAATTCTTTTTGTTTAACACAAGTCAATACTAACCATGGCACCATTCAGGAAGTGTTCAAGGCTGTGCTTCCCTTGGCTTTTAACTAAGAAAAAAGAAGCCTGTATCAACAGTGAAAGGGATGCTACATCTGAGGAGAGGATGCTTTTCAGTGTAATGAGCTCTATAAGTTATGATTGATCCAGCTAGAAACCTTCTCTTTTCACACTGCGTGCTGTCGCAGTCTGTTGTTTCCTTTCTCCATCTGTGAATTTGTAAGTGTTTATCAGTCTGGCCTCACAAATTAGAGTGTGGGACAAACTCTGATTTCTTGTTCCCAGCAATCAGACAGAGGAGTAAACGATTACTCATGCAAATAGCATTTTGGGTTTTTCCCTCCCACCCATCATTTCAAAACAGAGAAATAACAACATAATTTCACTGCTGAAAGAGCAGAAAAGTCTCTAACTAAGGCTGAGTTTGGAGATTTTGACAACAATGTTACCTCTTGATGTGGACTCTCAGCCCTGTAATGGAGAATCTACGCCACAAAAGAGCTTAGTGTGGTGCAGAGCAGCCAAGATTTTCCCCTGTACTGTACCCCTTTTGCTGCGCAGGCCTCGGTCGCTCACCATCTGCCACTGTGTTTACACCCATCAGCCCGGCAACTGTAATCTCAGAAACATTTCCTACAGACGCAGGCAGCTCTGAGGCTGTAACTCTCTGAATCAATTGGACATGAATACTTTCTGTCAGGAGCAG